AACCAATCCTCTTTTATTTAAAATTTTTCTTTTCTACATTTCACGCATTAAACCTTCATTTCTTCTCAAAAATTATATCAAAGGACTATTTTACCGGATTAAGAGTAAAAAATTAAATTTGAAGTAATGCCTCACTTGTCTAGATAGCAATGTCAGTTGCATAAAGTGTTGTTAGCAATGTCAGTTGCATAAAGTGTTGTTAGTCTAAGTCGAAAAATTGTACTTTCTGCACATAAAACCTTAATAAATTTTCGAACTGTTAAACTATTAAATCAGACAGCTTGGTCTTATTCTCATTCGATTTAGCGTAATGATATGCATAGGTAACGATATCTTACTTGCCTATTTAGCTATGTTAGATACGTTAATAGATATAAATAAAAAATTGTACTTTCATACATAAAACATAAATAACTTTTATAATATTGGTCACTTCATTCAATTTAAAGAAATCGTAAAAATACTAGATAGTATTTAAAAGTCAATCCTATTTTTATCCCCTTAGCCTTTTAGAAATGCAACATGAAATACATTGTTAATATCAATTCCATATTAAGAGCTAGAAATCATAATTCTTTTCAAACTATGGTGCTCCACTAACGCGGAAGTAAAGTTTTCAAAATTTCTATTTGCAGCTGAATAAAGAAGTTATAAAATGCAAAAAAAATTTAACGGGTATCAATTCAGCGTCTTTCCACAAACTGTTTTTAAAGCTTCTAAAATATATTAAATGGATTATTTCAAAAACAGGTTGGTCATTTAAAGCATTCAGTTTACTTCTAAAATCTTAAAAGTGCTTAGCTGACATACGAATATACACACTAAAAAAATAAAACTTTCGCAAACTCGAAAGATGTTAAGGCTCAATATTGGACAGGACTCAATATTGGACATTAACAAATAAAGTCGACACTGCTTCTAAATTTAATATTTTTACTTCTAAATTTACAATTACCATTTTTTTTAATTTCATGTAGTTCGGAAGCTGTATAAAATCCAAGCATGCCTGAATGNTTACCAGCAAATAAGGAAAAAGAATTAGTAATGTAATAAAGATAAAAAGAAAGGCCACGTACCTTCCATTCTCTGAAGCGAGTCAGTGTATCCAGTCATTGATTGAGCTCTAACTCTCCAGATAAATTACCAACAGAACGTCCATCAGCAGTCAGTCGGGCTTCAAACCAAGCTGCAGGTCTTCTTGTTTGGCAAAATATAATGGCCTGACCGATTGATATGGAACCGCAGATATTGGACAATACTGGATATCTGCCTTCGATGGTGTGACACATAACATAGAACTGCTTGACATTTTCTGGCCTCCATTGTTCAGCTGCAACGTTATGTGTTCAGTTATAATCATTTCTGAAAAACACATCAGGCGAGTAAGTGGCGGAGAACAGCATCATTTGACAACTATTAGACACCTTGCAGTGATTACGCAAACATTGATCATGATGCCTCTAAGTCGAAATCATGACATCAACTTCATCCAAAACAAAAATTCTCAACTTATCCAAATCGAAGTATCGCTCTCATCTAGCCAATGAAACACTTTTCCAGGCGTTCCGATCACAAAATTCTCTTTTATTGTAGAACCTCTTGTCAAGCTCTCGCCTCTAACAGCCCTTTGGAATTCAATCCCTTCGATAAATTGCGCCATTTTTTGCCACCTTGCCAATCTGCAGGGCAAACTCATATGTAGGTGATGCAAGCCCTGATCTGTTCTTACTTAACTAGACAAGAGAGCCGCGATGGTTCAGGGGATAAAGCGTTCGCCTTCCACTGAGGTTAACTGGGCTCGAATCCCGGCGATTGCTTGTTGATACGAATTCCGCATCTGGCTTGCACCGACCACAGTGCTGACGTTAAATATACTCAGTGGTAGACGGATCATAGGTTAGAGTCCCCTTGCCGTCAAGTTAACCATGGCGTGGTCTTCCCCTCCACGTCAGGCAAATGCGGTCTACTTCCTCCAAAAAGTCCTCCACGAAGGCAATTTCTTGATCCAGGAGTTAGTTCCCTTGTCTTCTGGATTTGTTTCAAAATTACAAGGTTATGTAGTTGAACATTAGTTGTAAAACCGAAAATTGGGTCGCCTGTTCAATTACGGTTATAAAATATAAAATAGAGATAGACAAAACGAAAACTGTAGTTTAACCTGTGCGATTATGTTGACTGGGGGATCAGCTAGCAAAGATGCAAGAGTTTTTTCTTGACTCTTGGAAGGAGCATTAATGGCTATTTTTAACAGATTTTGTGGCAGATGGAGCGTAAAATTTCACCGAGTACACAGCAGAGTCACCGTTCTTTTGCAAAATTTCAACTTCATGGGATGAAACTAACAGATGAGTCGTTAGAATCTTTCTCATAATGGATATTTCAGCCGACGACAAACAAATTTCATCATAATCATCATTCGGTAAGATTTGCGTCAACTTTAACATCGTTTTTGTTGGTGTCAGTTGGAGAAGGTGTATCGAAACTCCTAAACGCTCGCTTTTTTGTGCCTGTAGACCTTTCTGGAGCTGTTGATCGAGATAGTGGTGAGCTGCCAGCTTCCTATGGCGTTAGAACAAGCTTAGAAGAAAGTCTAGAATAATCTAAAAGCTGGCTCAAGTCTGTCATTTAGGCTGTCATATCTAAAATCGAAAAAAAAATGCTCTATAAGAAAAATAAAGTTGCAAAAACAAGTTAAATAAAATAGTTATTAAATTCAGAGAAAAACAATATTTACTGTATATATTTAACATAAAAAGCTTCAACCAATCTTTTTCTGTTTTTCCTTTTCTGTAAATCTCTCTTAATTTTCTATTGAAAACAAAACTCTCTTTCTCACACTTTAAAATTCACATCATGCTGTCTTTTAATCTATTTTTAGTTCAAGTATGCATTAATTGACTTTGACATTTTTCCCTTTGCTAACTCGTGAGAAAACTATATTCCCATAGACCAATTACAATGATTTCCTTTATTCCCTAAAATGAAACATTCAACTAATTTACTTCGGAAGATTTTCCCTAATTTTTAATGAGGAGCACAACGATTTTGTGACTTGAATGCTAGCTCTTTAGGAATGTGTCTCAATAAATGATATTCAGGTATAGCCTGGTGCCTGAAACCTGCTTATTTCCACCTCTCGGCTACGTCTGATTATATATATATATATATATAGTAACTCGTATCTTTTAGACTATTTGATATTCATAATCGATAACTGATCAGACAAAAATACTGACTGTAATTAAGTTTTGAATACAAATAAATCTCTGTCATTTCTCTTACCCAAATAATCACAGTGATATAAACAAAATGTAAGAAATATTTCTCGTAAAAGTTTCTTTTTTCTTTCACACAATTAGCTTATACTTAAATCGTAGTACACAAGCAAAGGAGAAATCTTTTTCAATTGCAAATTGTAATCAAAGGTAATTCAATTGCAAATCGTAATCAATTCTACTGTAGAGAATGATGGAAAATAAAAAAAGCAGCATTGTTATGAAAATAAAATATGTTTGTGGGTTAATTTGTTATTATTTAAAAAGTTTTTCCAAAGTTATAGTATCTAAACATAGAAACAAATGCTTATGAAATTCCCGTACATTATGATAGAGACATTTCTAGAAAAAAGACATAATTCTGGTAAATTAAGCAAAATATATGGCACTTAAACAATTCATTTGGTAATTTTTCTAGTCATATGGTAAAGACCTACAGAAAATTCTGGTTTTCAAAATAATAATTCTTATTATTACACATTTACACTTCTTGCAGTGGATTCCCGCCCATGTGAACCTAGAGTTCAATGAAATAGCTGATTCCTTGGTTAAAAATGCCAGAGATCTAAATCAAAATTCAATCCCAACCACGTTGTCAGATGCAAATGCTTTTGCAAAGTCAAGACTATTCACCTCTTTAAAAATCAAAGCCCACGATCAAATAACTAATCTTGACATCGATAGGAAGACAGCCACTACTCTCATCAGACTAAGAACAAAACATCATAAAAACATGAAAATTTCTACAGATAAGACTAGAAAATATCAAAACTGTGGCAACTGTCTTAATGTGGAACTGACACCATATCATGTTTTTAACTGCCCTGCAGTCGCTGCAGGCTTTCACCTCTTAAACTACCCCACAGAAGAGGATTTGTATTCTTTTAATGCCATAGAAATAACAAAAGCTTTCAAGCACACAATGAAATATGATTCAATAGAGGATACGACACCAACCAACCAACACATTTAGTAAAAAATGAAGAGCAATTTTAACCAAATAAATGATTTTCAAATAAATAAATGAATTCATACTCAAAGGTATGATAAAAGTAGCAAATTTTTCCACATTTACTAAATTTTATCTCAAAACAATATTTTATTACTAATTTTACCTAAATCATTACCAAAGTGATTTGATGAGCTAGAAACAAAGCCAGAAACGTGGCGAATTGTACACTATCCTGGTAATTTTAACTACACTTTTTCTCAGTTAGACTCATAAAATTATTACAATAATTGTGTGGAGCAAAAAAAAGAGTGTTGGTTTTAATAACTTTTGTCTTAGAAAGAAAACTAGGCATTTGTAACTCAATTTACTAGTTTAAAATATTGGTTTAATTCCTTTGCACCAGACCAGTCATTTTGAAAAAAAAATAACAGAGTTAAATTGCAGTAATGCATACTTTTTATATTTTTATTAAATTACAAAAATGCATACTTTTTGTATTTTTGATTAACAATTTTTTAATGACATTTGTTTAAACATAACAGTTCCCCAATATTTTTTTAATGTATTTAAGTTTCCTAGTTTTATTATTTCAACCTTGATCTAAACTTAGGTTGTATTTGAAAATTGATACATTTTATTTGAAAAAGCATTTTTCATAACCTTAAATTGAAACTGAATTTAATATATTTCTACCAAAATAAAACCAATTTTACTAAAAAGATTTTGTATATGCGCATTGGCGGTTAAACTGTTTTGTTTTGTTTTTTTCTCTCAGGAGAAAATATACCCTTCTCTAGCTTTTTTATACGTGAAATGTGATTTATCTTCCCTTAAACACAATAAAAACTGCAGCTTCAAGAACGGCAATTTTTTCCTATGTAAATAACTTAACGTAATATTTTCTCCTTTCTATTCACCTTATTTTTTTTCTCTGTTTCTTAAATCTTGTTTCAGCGACTTTACGTTCAAAACAACTTTCGGTAAGAAAATAACGGATTATTTCGGTTTCTGTATTTGTGTACTATATATTTTATATTACACACACACACACACATATAT